CGCGGTTGTAACGACACGCTGTATTTTTCATTGACTATATTACCGACTAGGCAGGCTCGTCGAAGTATCATAACGACACAGGAGACCTGCGCTAAGTCGAAGTACTATATAATCTTCGTATGATAAATGCAGTGCAGTGGTAACCTGGGCCCACATTATTAGTCTTGCAACGCATTTCTAACCCTCACACGTTGTTGGCGATGATAATCACTTAACATCAGTTAAATCGCCTGCTTGCTTGCCAAGTTATTGATTAAAAAAAGTAACGAGTTTAATACTTGTCAATAGCTTTTATTGATCTCTTATTGTCGGTTCTGACCCAGGCACTTAGTGTTAACGTAATACAGAATTCGTAATTCGGTATAGTAATATAATTCTCTTTTACAAGTAGCACACCGGCTAATAATAAACCCGGGAAAATCAGCATTTTTCGGATTCAGAGCGTCTTTCATTTGTTGTTATGAAGTAAACAAGTCCATTCTTTATTAACGAAAAACAAAACCGACTTCAAATATCTCGCTCTGTATTCATTTTATTATTGATTTTCAGGAGTCCCCTAAGCATCTCCGGAGCCCAAGATCCAATTCCAATGAAATTAATATGAGGCCACATGGGAAGCGCCAGCTTTCAAATAAAAAAAGAATCATCAAAATCGGTTCGCTCAGCTGAAAGTTCCGATGTAACAATGATAAAAAAATGTAGTCGAATTGACCTCCTCCTTTATTGAAGTCGGTTGACAAAACTGTGATGGCTCAAGATTCAGGGAAATGCCCTTGAAATTTAGCAGTAAAATTTGTGAAAGTTTCAACTTCAGTGTCAGTTATGTATTATATTTGTATGACCTTGGGAGTTGAATAACTGTAATAGAGACACTATGTACATTTAGTAAAATATTTTAAATGGCAGAAATGCAATTCACACAACCGTAAGTAATATGACGCTTAATTGATTATATTCTCAAATTTAAGTAACCCGATAAAACAAAGAATTAAGTTTTGATAATTCATCGTCGTTTCGCGTTGAATTCGATTCGAAATAGAGAAAACGTTTTAAAATTGAAATTCTTTCAATTGGAAGCTTTGAATTAGGACGCTGTTAGGAGAGCGCCGTGAAGTATAAATTCATTACGCCGTCACTTTAATCCGAAGGCAGAGCCCTTAAGTGGTAAAGAGGTTTCAATTAAGAGCTCCGCTCGCCATTAATTTTTCACCACGCTCCAGTCTTACTCTATTTTGTCTTACCTGACCCGTCAGGGATGACCATGTTGACGTGTGAAATAACGAAAATCATGACTTCGACATTAATAATAAACTGATATTAGTTTCATATAATAACATTCATTATAGTAATATAATAATTTAATTTGAAATAATAAGAGAACAGATATAAATGTTGGGAAATACATTTAAGAAGCAGAATGAGATTCTTATGTTTAAATGGTTTACTTTTTTACCCTAAAACTGCCATTGTTGAAAGTCGGTTTACGAGATTAGTATTAAAACTATTACACCTTGGATACAGTCAAAACATTATTTACAGTTTACGTCAAGAGTTAATTTTCCTTTAGTCTAAGCTCGTGAGTATGAAATGCAGCCGCTTGTAACTTGCCAAGTTCAGTTTTGAAAACACGCAGTCTGTATCTTGGGGAAAACTTATTTCACGCTTGTATATAAATAAGTAATACTCGTGACTGGTGTTCGATAGGGTTTTGCAGCCCTAAGTGCTTCGGCGTGTAATCTGTGGCCGTTTTTTCCCGCCCGCACTTGAGACGGCTTAGTTGATGACTTAGCTTTCTTAACTTCTACTACGCACTAATGAAGATGGAAGCGGAATTAAGTGACCACTGACATTCAGGTTAAAGTACATAGGTTTATTTATTTATTTAGTCTTTATTTAGTCTTTATTGCTATTCCTTTAATACGGAACACAATAGGCGGACTTAATGCTTCAAGGCATTCTCTGCCAGTCAACCTATGGTGTGGTGAGATCTTTAGGCAGGTGCAATTATAAAACTAACTAAAATTAAATTGTAAAATAAACAACCAAAATAGTAACAAATACTTTAAATACAAAATTATATAAAAATAAACTACTTTTCTTTTTAACAGAGACGAGAGCAAAAATCAAGTGAATATGTATAATAGACGTAATATTTCATTTATATACATCATAAAAACTTCAACACTATAATATACGGACCAATACGGCTTAGGGACCTTCAAGAACAGAGCCTATTCCTTATAGCGCATTTCTGACTCCTCTGGTTTTTTGTGTGTCCATGGGCGGCGGTGAACACATACCACCAGGTGGGCCGCCTGCTCGTTTGCCTCCGTTTCCATAAAAAAAAAAAAAAAGAAAAAAAAATCGGCCAAGTGCCAGTCGGACTAGCATACGAAGGTTTCCTTACCATCCATACTTCTATACTTAATATTGTTAGCTATATTTTGTTTTATCGAGCTAAGAAGGTAGAAATATAAATACTTTTACCAAATCACCGTAGTTTAACTTTGCACAACAATAACACTGGTATACTATTATCTACATCTATATTACTTATTTTATCACTTTAATGTGATATTAATGAAACACCACTCTAACGATTTAATTTATGACACCGATTGGGCAGCACTATCGTGTATGCTTCTGGTTTGACAGCCAAAGAAGACGACGAATACGACGAAGACCATGAAATGCTTCGTGCCGCTTCATTTATACCCCCATAGAATGACACTCCTTTTAGTGTTGCCAACAACCTCAAGGAACGACTTTTTTAATGTTGCCTACAATATTATAAATGCGAAAGTAACTCTGTCTGTTCACAGACAGAGTTACTTTCGCATTTATAATATTTCACTCCAAAACTACTGAACCGACTTAAATGAAATTTGGCACGGATAGTCTAGAGCCTGAGAAAGGACAAAGGCTATTTTTTAATTGGAAAAAAGTGTTGTAAATGGTTGAAAGATATTTATTTAAGGGCTTCAACGCGAGCGTAGCCGCGGGCGAACAGCTAGCCAACAACTGTCTATCACGGTTCATGAGATAAAGTCTGGTGACAGACGGACGGACAGACAGAGACAGCGGAGTCTCTAATCGGGTCCCGTGTTACCCTTTGGGCACGGAACCCTAAAAAGAATATCGCCCTCCCGACCTTATCGCACCGAAATGTGAATCATACTGTTAGTCATGTTGCCTAGGTTTTTAACGACCGGCCGCTTGTGACAAACCGCCTGTCCTTAGGACAAATAATCATATCCGAAACCATTGTCTGTGGGTCACACTTGGCCCGCGTGGGAATCGCAATATTGGACTAAAATTGCGATGTTAAGAATTTTAAGATTTCGTTTTTATTGCTCGTTTTAACTTAGTGTCACGATTAACTTATTTGCCGTTGAAGGTTTTATGCAAATCACGCGGAGGCTATAAATTTCGTCGTTCAAAAAAATGCCGTTTTTATTTCGCTTATATACGAGACATAAAACAATACGTTAAGGCGACACAGCTATTTCCCGGTCGGACTATTGTTTTTTTTTTTAATTTAAATAGAGAAGGTACTGGCAAACTCACGGACACTCAACATAAATATCATAAATATCAAGAAGAAGCTGAAAGCTTGAGGTACCTGACCTCAATTTTTCAGCTAAGGAAGTCAAAGTCGTAAAACAGTACTTCTTTTGAAGAGCAAACTAAATATTAATTTTATAATTAAAGCGGTTTCGAACGTGTACAGCATTACTTTCTGTCGGTTAAGTATTATTTAATTTGTTCAGCGGCTAATGCATGCCCGTGGTTAGTGGAACCTCGCCAAGATATAGTTCTGCGTACATTGGCGGCCAGTAATTGGTGCTTTAAAGTAACTTATTCCTTCAGAAATTAATTACTCTACAAATGTGGATTACAAGAAAAGACACCGGATTTTAAACTAAAAATGGTAGTCAGTAAGTATTAATCTATCAACGAATCAACGAGCTTTTTAGGTCAAGGTCATGGAGCTTATAAAGTAGAAGATAAAACCTATCATAATAAGTCTAAGGTAATATGTAAGTTACTAAAACGCTTTATTAAAGCTCTGAGGCAAAGTTCAAAGATTGTTATAATAACGCTCCATTCCATGTATCGTTGACAGTCTTGTTAAAAGTTATTTTCGCGAACAGGAACTTAAATGAAGAGTTACGATAAAATTCAAACGTAAATACCGATCGATCTGATCCAAATAATCTTATCTAGGTTAAAATCTAAGTGGCTAAAACATTACGTCGTTTTGTAGTTCTGCATTATCATTTCTGCAGCGATTAAGCATACAGTAAAAAAAGGCATATCTTCTATTGAATCGTGAAATTATTTCGTAATAGAGTATGAAAATTTAAATTGTTTATAGTGCTAATCTTTGCACTTAAGATTGAACATTAAAATATGTATGCTGGAAAGGATATAACAATAGATGGCGCCAAGCATTGCTTCAAATGCTAAGAAAACAATGTGGAAGAATGCGTTAAGATTTTCGTCGGTGTGGTAATCAGCCATTTAGCTCAGTGGCTAGAGCGTCAGGCCGCGAATGCCGAAGACGTGGGTTCGATTCCCACAGCGGCGACAATCTTTTCGCACTTTTTCTACATATTTTAATGTTCAATCTTAAGTGCAAAGATTAGCACTATAAACAATTTAAATTTCTGAAAAAGCAATGGCGACATCTCTCGTTCGAATTATCGTTGTAAAACGATATTCGAAGTTGTTTGTATGCTGGAAAGGATATAACAATAGATGGCGCCAAGCATTGCTTCAAATGCTAAGAAAACAATGTGGAAGAATGCGTTAAGATTTTCGTCGGTGTGGTAATCAGCCGTTTAGCTCAGTGGCTAGAGCGTCAGGCCGCGAATGCCGAAGACGTGGGTTCGATTCCCACAGCGGCGACAATCTTTTCGCACTTTTTATACATATTTTAGAGTATGAAAATATTAAAAACCCTTGTCAGATGACACAAGATTAAATAAGCCACTTACCGGACTTTGAGACTCTGTATCGTAGGCCGCGACCCCCTTTCTGGCATCTGTTGTAGGTCCCGAGTTCTCCATAGTTGTTGTTGATTCTGCTATAGTCCGCTAGATGGCGGTTGCCGTCGAGGTGGTTGGGCAGCGACCGGTTCCAGCCCATGACGTCACCCACCACGGACCCGCAGACCGAGGACTCTGTCTGGCTCTTGGAGTCGCCATTGCAAAGGTCTCCGCTGGACCTAGCCCTGCGCCCTTTGAGACCCTTCGACGAGTGCTGGCTGATGTTAGAGCCCATAGCGTGGCGGGACCTTACGCAGGCCCCGCCGTCATGTTCCCGTCTCTCCTCCGATTCGCTGTCAGTAAGTCTCCCACGCTGGTTTCGACCTGCAGGCAAACACATTGCATCAAATCATACTCCTCAACTTCATGGTACCCTAATGGACGGACAAACCTATGAAAGTTTCATTTGAGAACATGGACTGTGAACGGTGGTAGTATAATGATGAACAGAAATTATCTATAAATGTTGAGAATGTTATTGATGTATTTTCACATACAGCTTACATAGATGACCTGCGAGTAGAGTAGCCAGTTCCAATTTCAAAATTTTAAGTTTTTCCAGATATCTTTAGTCAATTCGACATGACTAGAGAGGCAAATAATAAGGTCATAAATAATGACTCATACGAGCTCATTCAAACATAACACAAATTTATACAACATAAGCCTCTTGGGTACGTAAATTTCTCTAGGGTAACGAAACTTCAAGTTATTTGTAAATAAATAATGTAAGAATATTACTGTTTTCCCATTACAGGGTGACGCAAAACCATTCAGCAAGTTCACTAAGTTTATAGACGACATACTACAAAATTAATTACTTCACTACTTCGAGTTTCCCGTATTCTCTTAACGAGACTACAAATTTACATGTTGTTGAATGTTTTCTTTACATTGTTTCTAATGTCATGATTTTTCTATGACTTCATTTTCATTTATTTCGAAGTATGTGCAGCGAAAATTTCTCGAGCAGACGGAGACAACGACTATTAGCATGAATGACTAAATGTCCGCTATTCGAAGAAACAGCGACGAGACGTTTTAAAATGCAAACATCCTTCACGCTATTTATTTATGAAACAAAAAAAAAAAACTTGTTTATTAGCAAAGGCATTGTGCTACGAGTATAGACAATGCCGCCGCAGTATGCGATGCATAGTTAATACGTAACACAATGGAACTTCCTTCCCGCATCCGACCTCTTCTCTAATGTTGATAAATATGGTAAATTTGTTTAATAAAATCTATAAAACCTTTTTTTTTTTTTTCAATTAACAAATATTGTTTTTTCATTTAAAGAATACGAGCGATTGGATCACCCGATAATTAGTGATCACCGCCGATGATAGATTTCTAAAACATTCTTGAGGGTGCATCTTTCTGAGCTGTCGCCATTTATGTGGTAATTCTGTTACAATGTAAACTTGAATATAGTCACGCGATCGTGTATTTAATTTTTAATGTTCATATTTCATTCCTACGACATAATTGAAAGAATATCTTAATAAATAAAAATGAATGTTGGCAAGCGCATAACTCAAGAATGCCTGGACAAATTGGGCTTATTTTATTTTATGTTCCTTAAGGTCCACGGAAGTTTTAAATACTACAAAAACAAAAAAGAAAGAAGTCTGTCCGGGTAGCTATTTGTAAATAAAACCAGGGAAATAGTATGAACTTCGATTCGTTACAGTATTCTTAGTCGATCTCGAGCCTACTGTATCCATCGACCTCTCGCACATTTGCAGATGTCTTATAGTTTACGAAAACTTAATTTCTAAAAGTATAATATTGGTATAAATGTCCTCTGAAACATTAACGAACTAATGTTAAATGCCCGTATATCCATAAACGTTTAAATTGTGTAGTATTAATCAAACAAATATTTTTTATTTGGCACTATTTTTAATTTGCGCTAAATTTAAATAAATGATGCACTTTATTAAAAGGTGGCAAAGCATCAGCAACCCTACAGGTGTTGCATATGTTCATTGGCAGCGTCATCACTTAACGTCAGGTGAACCGCCAGCTCGTTTGCCACCTTCTCACGTAAAAAAATACTATGAGATATAATAACGATTAGAAATTACTTAAATCACAAACTTTTTTTCGCCCTTACTAAAAGTATGTTCTTGATATCCAATCAACCAACGCCCAGTACAAGTAAATTAGTACATATCGTAAACCACTATTGGGTGCTTTTTACGCAATAAGCGTTGACTAATTGCCTCGGACATAAGCTCACATAACGATTTATTAAATTTACGTGAATAAACTTAAAGAGCTATTCCTCAGTGTCCGGTTGCGCTCTTTAATTTCAGTATACTATAGCAACCTGATGAAATGAAATTCTCAATTGTAATTTTAAATTCTGACTATCCACGGTCTCGCAGGTAAAGGAATACAAATTGAGAAGAACTGTGTATCTAAAAAATGACTGATAACATAATTTTGAAGGTATATGAAGTCTTCTAATACAGCCCTTCTACGCCCGGACAGAGGACGCCTTGTACCATGATCATGTAGTCTGTTTACTAATCTACACAGTAAAACTATTTGACGTGATTCACGTTCAAGTTTTATTCCTTACTTTACACGTTTTAAATACTTTGCAGCATCCGTGGGAAGGATGGAGGGTAATCTTTTGATTTTACGCCACTCGCGTTCGTGAAACTCTTCTTGTGTAAATGACGCTTTCGTTGGCAACATTGCCTTTGAGGTGTGATCTGTGGACGACAGCTAAGAAACTGACATCAATGAAGGCAGTTTCATATTCAAGAGGTTCTTGCAGTGGGGGTACCTGAGGCTTTATAACGGTAAAGCAGTCACTTGGCTTTCGAATATTGGATAGTTCACCATCTTCATTGGCGCTGTCATTTACTGTTAAACCATAGTTTGTGTGGAATAAATAATTGGTACAAAAATAATTTATAATTTAACACTTACATGTTTAATGATGATCTCAATGTTACCATTAGCAACTATGCTTTAATTCAATTTACTCGGGCAACCTCGAGTTCGAACCCCGGTGCCGGCACCAGTGAAATTCTTAATTTTAAGTGCTGACTTATCACGTGCTCAGCGGTGAAGGAAAACATCGTGAGGAAAATGCATATTTTCGAAATAGTAAAAAAAATATTTCGAATCCATGTAAAGTCCGACATTCCGCAGTGAGTTGCGTGGTGGACTACCCCTGATACCCTCTTTACAGAGGAGGCCTTTGCCCAGCAGGTGGATTTTTATACGCTTTTTTTACATTGCCCTTACTTTAGGATAACATTATCCTGTGTTGTAAGGACGTTTTACAAACATAAATTTCACGCGGATAAACACCCAGATGCGAAACAATTATCTGTGGGTCACAAATAGTTGTCCCGTGTGGGGATCGAACGAACGACCCCCGACGCCGAAGCCAATACCTTGGCAACTGCGCCACGGAGTCATCAAGCTGTTATGTTACTTTAATTTTTTTTTGTAAAGCTGATAGTGTTGGAAACTTGGAATGATAGGAGTAAAAAATTAAAACTTATCCGGGAAGTTGTTATACTAAAACGGTAGCTTATGCCTTAGACTACTTCCCATGGATCCAATAACGGTGAAAAAATTAAAATATATTGTAGAAAAAGTGCGAAAAAATTGTCGCCGCTGTGGGAATCGAACCCACGTCTTCGGCATTCGCGGCCTGACGCTATAGCCACTGAGCTAAACGGCTGATTGTCACACCGACGAAAATCTCAACGTCCCTTTCTACATTGTTTCTTAGCATTCGAAGCAATGCTTGGCACAGCTATTGTTATATCCTTTCCAGCATACAAACGTTGAAAAAAAATGAAACTTAAAATTCTGAGCTGTTTAGGCAACACATTGATATGTAACATGCATGAATTTTCTTGTATCTTTTAGCATACTTATGCTAAAAGATACTCTGAGGCTTCGGTGTCAAACGCGTACGTGCTTCTTTGTACGGAGAGCTTACAACATACCATAGCTGACAAAGATATAATATACTACATTATATTTATAAGACGTAGTTGAAGTAAAGCGAAAATTAAATACCTAAGTGAAAATTAAATTTATTACTTTAACAATGATTTATTGTTAAATTCGAGTTCATGAAAATTGCGTCAATGAAACATTTTTATCACCTTTCTTACAAATAAGAAAAAAATCACAATTTACGGGAAGAACATAATAAAATATGATAAAACGATAGGTAAGAACAAAGTGTGCCGTTTCTGTTTTAATTAAATTATAAAATAACAACTCATGATCAAGATATCCCCAATCAAGCTAATGGTCCCGTGGGATTAAAAACACTGCGATTTTACAACATTTCGATCTTGTTTCTATTAATTAATTGAAGTTTAGTTTTGAATATAGTGATGAATAATTATATAGAATTTGGAATAGTTTTCGAAACATTTTAAGCGTTTCCGTAAAAACTTAAAATGGACATGTTAACTCTACATTTTTGTTACGTTATACAGCGTGTCGTTACCACCGCGACAATAAATGAACACACATATAGAGGATAACTTTTTAAAATTGTATTAAACATTTACATTCTTTAGACATCAATATTTACCGACTTATTAAATTTTCCAAAACAAACAATTTTAGAACACCCTTACGTATAAAACTGTAAAGTAAAGTTCATTTGTAAAGGTCACAAAGCATATGAATGGGTTGAATGAATTTAAAATAGCCAAAACATACTGTTAGAAGGAGAGGCTTATAATATGACGGTGTGGCGCGAGTTGTATAGGAGGTTACAAATTTTGTTTCTTTTTTACTTAATTAGTTTGTTTGAAAAATATTTTTTTTTTTAAATTATGGATTTTATTTAACGTTAATATTTTTTTATGATTATTGGCAAGTAGCGTTAGACGTGTGTTCATTTATTGTCGCGATGGTAACGACACGCTGTATAGTGGGATATAAATTTATCCCACAACTGGGCAAAGGTCTCCAACATGCCCTTAATAACGCTGCAGCCGCGGTTAGGGATAGGCTCTCTTCAATAGTCACAACCGATCGGCCTTTTTTTACTCTTACATTATTGTGGTAGTCAGTCGATGGCTTCGGCTGTTGCACGAATCGGCAGGTGCGTCGGAGTTAGTACCACGACCCCACAGAAGACCGGCGTGAAGTAGAAGTGTTATACTTCTGCGTTTCGTCTCGTGAGTGAGGTAGCCGGGGCCAACATTATTAAAAGGTGCATACGCATCTGCAACCCTACGCGTGTTGCAAATTTCCATGGGTGGCGGCTGTCACCTAACAACAGGTGAACCGCCTGTTCGCCTTCGACCTTTAAGATAAGAAAAAATGTTAATATTTGTGATTACTTGAATTCACACATTGTGTGATGGATACCGATTTACACTGAGGGGGGCTAATTTTATATCACAGGCCGGAA